AACTAAATGCTAAATTGTCACCCTATGTGATGTCGGGTAAATGGATTGTCGGGTAAGTGGTTTTCGGGGAATTGAGCGACAACCATATTATATGTATGATTAAAGAATAATAAGCTTGACGCATATAAATGTTTTTAAAAAAAAAACCAAATACGTACTACATTTATCAGTAAATTTAATTTGAACTGGTCCCATTGAATATGCTATTTAATAATAAACGATAATAATATCAAACTTTTTCAATTCATTTCTCTATTTTAATTGTTTTTTTCCTGAAATCATACTTACGAATAAGATTAAGCTCTACACTTTCAATAACACCACCAGGCTTCATTACCCTCATTATATCTTTTAATACAGAATTCCACTGTGATTTCTTCATAATTGTAAGCATATGTCTCATAAAAATATAGTCAAATTCATTATCATCGAAAGGTAAACCGTCGAGTATGTTACATGTTTGGAAATAACAATTTGGAGGTTTTATCATATCTGGAAAGGTAGATATTAGATCTATTCCATAGAACTCGGCATTAGTAAACTCTTGGGACGTTTCTAAACTAATAAATGTAAAGATTGTTATACAGACGTTTAATAAAATAAATTTTATTTAATAATAACTATAATATATTACCACCAATGTCCGGGTCCACATCCAATGTCCTATATTTAGAATCCAAACGTAAATCATTGAACTTTTTAACACTTTTGAATATTATAATTTTGAATATTTACCAAAATTTTACTTCCGGGTTTAATAATATTTGAAAGCGGTGCACTATAATTGCCACCAAGTATGTGTTTTAACACAAAATGAAGTGCTTGAATTCTATCTGCTTCTTCCCAATCTATGGGAAACTTTAATAGGAATTGTCAAATATTATAAATTTGAAATAATTACCGATTTAGAGTGACAAAAAGCTTACCATATACATAGAAAAATCTTCATCAAAATAAGGTCGACCGTCTACTATCCTCAAATTTGAAGTTAGCCGGGAATTGGAACTGTTTGCCGAATCAAGAGTTTCATTTTTAGAAGAACTAAACTTAATACGCTTTTTTTTATTTAGTTTCTTAGTAATTTTGATAGATATTTTATTTCCCATTTGTTATATCTATTGAAATAATCCGTGAGAATTAATATGCGATGCTCTTAGAGTTATGCTTCTTGGTAGGTTATTTTATTAATGCCAATGACATTTATGAAACGAACATGTGAATTACTGAATATATGCTATTGAAATAATTTTAAAAGCAGATAAATTGATGAAAGGTGAATGAAGGGGCTTTTTATTAAGATTTTCCATCCATTGCATAATTAATAGAAATATAAAGAACAATTTTAAGTTTGCTGTCCGCTGTTCGAAATGTTTTTTAATTAAATCGTGTGACAAATATAGAATATAAACATTCAAATGGAGAAGTTAATTTCTAAGTCATCTAAAAACGGATAATTTCTTAGGGAATTCAGGGTGTTACTATTCACAACATAATTTAAATGTGTCATAAAATTTAAATTACGTGAATTATCCCTTAATATATTAGATAAATTAGTAAACATTAAGACTTCTTGGGATTCTAAAAATATGTTTTCTATGCACACCATAGTGCGTATATGTAGTAGTATCATATTTATATTTACATACGATCATAGTTTCAAAATATATTAATAATTGAAGTTCCCATATCTAATGTATTACTTTGTGCTTTATTTATTTAATATAGTATGTATAACTACATTTTATCATTAAAATTCATTATGAATGTTTTCTGATATTGTCTCCGAAGCGTAATGGAGGACAGTAGAGTAGTACAAATGTATTTGTGCTATCCATAATCACTACTCTAATCCAGTATACTTGATGTATTTAAATGAGGATGATATGTTAGTCTTTGTAATTGAATTGAATTTGATTGAATTTGATTGAATTTGATTGAATTTAATTAAATTTTATTGAATTTAATTGAATTTAATTGAATTTAATTGAATTTAATTGAATTTAATTGGATAATTCCGATTAATCGAATAAATTTTTTTACTCGATTAATCGAAAAATATTCTTTATTCAATTAATCGGATAACTTTTCTAAAATATATCTGCCGATTAAGGCTCTCAATATAGAATTTAATAAAACCTAAAATACGAGAAATAAAATTTCCATATATGAAATACCGTATTTTATCTGACATATGTACCCTATTATATTTTTGAAAACAAATTTTGACTTATAATACTGAAATACTTAAGTATGATATTTCTCTCTTAATAAGAAAATTATTGTTATAGTGTCCTGGGTACACACGTCGAATTAATACAGTAAATCAATTTAAATTCTGATATTTGACTGAGTAAAAAAATAATCGCTATTTCTAGTAATAATTAATCGAATAAAATTGGGCGAGTCAGTAGAAATCAAGCAAATTGTTTTTATTGAAACTTTATATAACAATAACTCAACAAAAATTTAATCAAATTAATAAATTTTTTATTAAAATAAATTCCACAAGTTTATAGAAATTTTTTTTTATAAAATTTGATCAAGTTTTTGTTGAGTTGTTTTTGTTTAAATTTAAAAAAAAACTTTAATTAGAAAAAATTTGCTTGATTTCTACGTATTGACTCAACCCTTCTTCTTCGTTTGCTCCTTCATTTTCTTCTAATTCATTCAGGTCGTGCCAAATATTCTAAAAATTAATCGATATATATTTCGAATAAGATCGATTAATCGAATAAAAAATTTTATTCAAATCTCCAAGAACTAGATAGGATACATTATCATACTGATTAAGTACTTGAATATGTGAATTACTTAAAAAAGCATTCAATGCCTGTATGTCACAAACATGTGACAACCAATAAATTGCTCTCAAAAATATATAAGCATAAGTTATGTGACACTTCAGTATGTGTTTTGTTACACTAAAGCATAACTTATTGCGCGATGTCACACAAAAATCTGTAGTCCCGTGTTATTGTAGAAGTCGCGACTGGTTCGGCTTCGAATTCGACCGGAGGCTCTGTCGCACACAGCTTAGGTCTAAACAACACGGATCCAACAATAAACCCTAATTAGAAGGCGTCGAAAGAGATTTGGCTGGAGTTTTAGGGCTACTCTTGGATTATCTTGGATCTTTTAGGTGAGTATTCTCCTGAATGGTTAGTTTTCTTTGGTCCGTCTTGGATTTCTTTCTCTCTCTCTTTCTGATTCCAATCTTTCTCAATGTAGATGCTTCTTAATCACGTGGCACGTGATCTGAGTCCCGATTTCTAATAAGTCAAGAGACGATCGTTTGACTTATGAGTTTTCAACAATGGTAATCTTAATCGGGGAGCTTATTAATAAAACTATCTAAGGGGTGATTGATTAATTGTTTTCCTTAAAACTATCTAAATTTGATTATTACGGGGGGTGGTTTATCAATAAAAATATCTTAACAATGAAGAATTTAGAAAACAAGACTTCTATTCGAATTCGAAGTATTGGTTCTTAAACACTGAACGTATTAGAGTTTTTGGTTTGAACTCTAAATGTTATTTTTATTGAGGCAATTTCGAATCACTTATATACATAATTTTTATTAATACAGGATAATATAAATAATGAAAAACATAAGAAAAAGAGAAATCCGGGAAATCTGGTGGATCAAGGAAATCCGGGCTAGGATTTCTAAAATCTGACAGATCTGACAAATCCTAGAAATCACAGTCAGGATAGTCGGGATTTCGGGATCTGGGCAATTCTAGAGACTGGAAGGCGAAGTAATCTGGCAAAGCCACGAAGATTTAAATAATTGTGTAACCTCAGATTGGTAGTACTTCCGGGGTTACCAGATCTGATCTTTACAATTCTCCTCCTCTAAAGAGAACACATTCCAAGAGTAGGGTATCATGTACTAGTTGGTTGAGTTCAGAAAGTTTTAACTTAGAGACCATAGGTACCATGATATGATTGCTTCGGTATATTTGGTCTACTCCATGAAACTTGTAGAGGTAGTAAGCATGACTTGCTGCCTTAATATAATAATCAGATAGTAGCCTACGTTGGATGTATTTTTTTGCAAGAGTTAAGTATGGAACTGAGCTTCCAAGTAGAAGGTACCTACGATTATTCCAATATGATTACTGGTGTTTTTGGATCTGATCATTTGTTCAAAGAAGTAATTATAAAATTAAGTTAATATTAGTTTTAGTTAATAAGACTATAGTACTTTTCTTAGTTATTTGAATTCTTTTTGTCTTGTTTGTATAAAACTCTTTTTTAACTTGAAAAATTTTATTTTAATTTTTTAGATATTATTAATTTTACTGTAAATCTCCGGGTCATCATTTTTTAAATTTCAAGATTAATAAAATCCGGGTTGGCGGGTTATATCATAGAACTGTATGTTATGAAAACCAATACTAAAATTTTATATAGCCTTAGAGTAAATTTAATAATTTTCTAATAAAAAAACTTAAATTCATAAAAAATTCAAGATTTCAAAAACCATTTTAGTAATATATTCCAAGTTATAGCGCTTTGCAAAAAGATGTGAACATATGATTTTTGTATTATAATGGCGGAGAATCATAGCGATTATTCAAATTTAAGAATCTATAGAAAATAATATAATTACGTATATATCAATTAGAAATATTACACTAAAATAGATATATTTAAAAAAATCTTTAAGGTTCTTTGAATAATTAAAAAATGATATAAAGTATATACTTTATTTATGATAATATCTTTACTGATGATAATATGAATATACAAATACAATAGATAAATAAATAAATCTTTATGTTATATAATCGTTTAAAATATTTATTTTAATTCTTCAATTTTATTTTCTTCAGTAATCATTTCATCTTTTGATTCTTCAACTTTAGTTTCTTCTGTAATTACTTCACTTTTTGATTCTTCTGTGACCATTTCATTCATTGATTCTTCAATTTCAGGTTTTCCTGTGATTATTTCGTTCTTTGACTCTTTAGTTTCTTCTGTGACCATTTCATTCATTAATTCTTCGACTTTAGTTTCTTCTGTGATCATTTCGCTCTTTGATTCTTCGACTTTAGTGATCATTTCGTTCTTTGATTCTTCAGCCTTGGTTTCTTCTGTGACTATTTCATTCATTGATTCTCTAATACTGGTTGCTTCATTTTCTGGTTGTTCATTCATGATTAATTCCGTAATTACTATAGTTTTTGAATCATCATCACTGGTTATTCCAATAAGAAGCATAGTTTTTGATTCATCACTTTCAATTTCGCTAATAATTGATTCATTTTTGGATTCTTTATATATTTTTTCTAAAAATTCTGCTGCTCTAGATTGATTTTTTAAAGCTGCCATCTTAATATATAATTCCGCTTTTACTTTATCTTCAGGAACCTTAAGTTTTCCATTCCAATAAATATCTCCTAAATTATAAAGTGCTGTAGAATTTCCACGTTCTGCTGCCATATTCATGTATTTTAATATTTCTGTAACATTTAAATTACGTTTATCTTCTATAAGTGCAAATGCGTAACGAAGCTGAGCATCAGCAATACCGTTATCAGCGGCCTCTTTAAAGTATCGACGAGCTGCTTTAAGATCCTTTTCTGTACAATATCCACATGTTAAATAATATCCTTTCCAATATTTTGCAATATTATTTCCAAGATTTGCATGATCTGAAAAACATTTCCAAGCCTCACTATAATTTTTTTTTTTGTGAGCTCTTAAACCATCTTCAAGAGGTATTAAAGTTTGTATTGATGCTAATGATGAATCAGTATTAATTATATCAATCTCACTAGATACATCAAATAAACTTCCGTTAAAACTCTGTGGAATGATATGAGAACTATTTCGATTTCGAAGCATTTCGAAACCTATAGCATTATCTTCAGAGTGTATATATTTGTTATAAAGTTCATCAAATTTTAACTGTAACTCTAAATCTAAAGGACGAGATGATGGCTCTTCTTCCCAAGCTTAAATAAGTATGTTATTTAGATATTTAATCACATCTTAATGATCTTAATGAAATTAAAAATAATTACCAGACTTAATAATTCTAGCAAGTTCTCTCGGAATTGGAGATTGATGAAGAGCGATTTCAAGAGTTTCTCGTTTTTTACTTACAATATGTTCATGAATTTTGGTTATATCCATGCCTTGATAAGGAATTCTTTGATAACATAGTTCCCAGAGTAGCATACCAAAACTAAAATTAAATATCAAAATAATAAATTTATAAATTTTTTTTTAAATTTATAATTTTTTTTTTAAATTTATAAATTTACTAAGAGACTAAATATTACCTAAACATTTCAGATTGATTATTATAACGAGGAATGGGATTTTTCATCCTTTCTGGAGCTAACCATCGAAATGTTTCATCCATATTAGAGTAAACAAATCCTTTTTCCCTATACCCACGATAAATTGAAATTTTAGGTTCAAGCTTATTCGTAATCTATTATTTATAAAAAAAAAAAAAAAAAAAAAAAAATCTTAATTATTCTGATCAGGAAATATTTTGATTAAAAATTTTTTAATAATAATGGATTGCATACCAAAATATTTTTACAACGAATATTATAATGAAAAATGTTACATTGATGCATAAATATAAGACCATTAAATATATCACGAGCGAGCTGTAATTTCATAGGCCAATCAATTTTATAACGTGTATACATTTCTTCTAAATTTCCATGTTCAGCCCAATCAAGAACCATAGTATTATCAACTGAAAGTCCGTGAAAAGTTATAATAAACGGACTTGATCCTAATAAGTGAAGAATTTCAAATTTGAATAGCTTTTCAGTTTTATCAAAAACTCTTTCACATGCAACTTCAGCTCCACGGTAAATTTTTTTCGAAATTGAACCACGGATATTATCTTTAGAGGGGGGTGGTTCACTAAATTCCTCCGATTTTATTTTAGGCATTTTATATACTTTTCTCGGAATGTTTGTAGCTATAGTCTCAGGTGTAGCATTTTTTAAAGAGTGTTTGGCTGCATTCAATGCAGAAATCTCTGTAGTTAATAATCTAGTTTCAGGCTGCATTCTATCCATTGACTATTTATTCATTAATTAAAATTTATTTAATTTAAATAAAGCATGTTATTAAAATTTATTTAATTTACATAAAGCATGTTATTAAAAAATCAAACATACCTTCTTCAAAATTAAAATATCATATGCTACATCTTGTGCCTCTTTTTCTCTTTGTTCTGCACTGTACACTACTACAGTTAAATTTAAATCATAACAAGAATCTTCGAATTCTACTATATTTGCATAAAAAGCATCTATAACCATATTAACATTTGAAAATTTTCGAAACCATGATAATTGCGCAACTTCATCAGCAAATATCATAATATTCTTCAAAATATTAGAAAATTTGACCCAACGAAGATAATAATCTCGTTGCCTAAAATTTTTTGCATTAGCTTGATGTTTTCTTTGTAAATGTTTCACACAAGTTCGTGCTATTTCAACACGAAATAATAATGCTGAACAAATTTTTTTATTACATTCTGCAGATTCATATATTGTTAACATTTTATCAGCTACTTCGTTAAATGTATTAAATAATGGAACAAATTGTTGAAGATTGTTATCCACTGATTGGTGTGCTAATATTTTACTTAAATCAACCCTTTCTGCCGGATTTAATTGTATTTCTTGTAAATGTTTATTTTCATCTAATGGATCTCTAGGTTCTAACTGGATATCCGATAAATACTCATCTCTCATTGTATTACTTTCTTTGTGCATTCTAAATTCTTTATCAAATATTAAATTATATGTTTTGACTTGCTCCTTAGCTTTAGAATATTTATCTATGATGGATTTTTTACTCTCTCTATCATCTATTTTCCTTTAAAATAAGTTATAAAAATGAGTTTCAATAATAATAATAAAGTTAAATTTAAAATGAAATTTCACACTTACTCCCTAGTCACATTAACAAGTATTTAGTTTAAGTAATAAATTAGTTTTATAATAGAAATTTTTTACACTCACTCCCTATAAATAGATATGTCAATATTAGGATTCATCTTAATGAAATGTAAAGGTTAAATATAGATAGAAGATTTCGCACTTGCCTACTAACAGAAACAGATGAATGATAACTAGACATTAATTTTTTAAGAGAAGTAGCAACTTTATTAATATCCGGACGTCTTGATCTATTACTTTGCCAACATTCTATTAAGAAAAAAAAAAGATTCATTTTTTATATTTATTAAAAATCTAAATATTTTTTAAATATTACTTACCAGTATATATTTGCATATATTGTTCTGGA